AGTCAGTCTTCTGGACTGGAGGCAAACCTGGATAAAAGTGAAATTTTTTTTGGTGGCCTGAATGAGAGTAAAAAAGGGTTATTATTGAAGTTGCTCAGCTTAAAGAAGGCAAATTACCTTTTAGGTATCTGGGAGTACCTCTCAGCTCTAAGAGGCTCTCTATCCTCCAATATCAACCTCTTCTTGATAAAATATTAGGGAAGATCAGGCATTGGACTGCAAAATTGTTGAGTTACGGAGGAAGATTACAATTAGTTCAAAGTATTCTCTATGCAATCCAAGGTTTTTGGAGCCAGGTGTTCTGCCTTCCCACAAAAATCATTAAAATGATTAATACAATGTGTAGACAATTCCTCTGGACAGGAAACACAGTTGGGAGGAAATCGCCTGTGGCATGGGAATCTGTTTGTAGACCTCAAGCTGAAGGAGGGTTGGGATTGATGCATTTGGAAACCTGGAATCGGGTTTGCTACTTGAAACTTCTTTGGGCTATCCATTTGAAAAAAGACAAACTGTGGATAAAATGGGTGCATGCTTTCTATATTAAGGATCGGGATGTTCTACATATGGATGTACCTATCCATGCCTCATTCATGTTCAAGAAAGTATTGAAGCTGAGGGAAAAGGTACAGCTGTCTGGTGATTGGCAGAAACAATTGAATGAACAAAGTTTTAGGAGGAAAGATATGTACTATTCAAGTCTCCCATAGCAAAAGTTGACTCGAAGGAAATGGTAATGCAAAACGTGACTTCACCTCGGGCTAGGTTTATATTGTGGCTTACCTTGTGGGGTAGAATTGCTACTAAAGATAGACTTTCACAATTCCATATTCCTGTCCCTGATACTTCTTGTGTTTTTTGTGGATTCCATATTGAGACAGTGGACCATGTGGTTTTTGAATGCCCTGAAATTGAGAAACTTTGGGCTGCTTTGTATAGCTGGTTAGGGAGAAGGTTCTACATTTGTAGTTGGACTCAATTTATTCCTATGTTATGCAGAGATACAAAGGGGAAGAAGCTGCCAAACAGATTGTTGAAAGCTTTGATTACTGAATTGCTTTATGCTATATAGAAAGAGCGGAATCAGAGAATTTTTAATAATACACGATTGGAGCTACAACTACATCTCAGAGAGATTGTACAAAGGGTGATTAGTAGATGCTCTAAAAAAGAGGAGATTGCTTGTTTCTTTAAAGGATTTAATCATTACCCCATGATTTAGTTTGCATGTTATTAGTTTGATTTTTGGTAATTTAGTTAGACACTCCTGTTTGTTTAGGGGTTTCCTGGGCAAGTGCCTTTTGGTCATGTGAGAAGGTTGTACTTATTTTCCAATGAATGAAATATACAAGCTTATTTCGTTAAAAAAAAGAGTTAAAAGGGGCAAACTAACATCATAATTTTAATTATTTTCACAAATTAACTTTAATGTTTTTTAAATTCGAATATTCGAATTCGATTCGAAAAAGATTCGAATATATCAAACGAATCGAATACGAATACAAAATAAGATTCGAATTTTAAACGAATACGAATACAAATATTCGATAATTATGCAAATACGAATAATATTATCAAATATTCGGTTCGTTTACAACAGTAAATATAACTATAATTTTAATTTAAAAAAATTAAGTTCTTTAAGAAATGCAAAGTATTACATTACAAATTTCATAATCTTTTTTAAAAATTATTTCTTAATATGTTTCAAGTTCATTATTTTAGCTTTTGACTTTTTTATTTTCTGAGTTTTTAAATTTTACTCTTTAGGTTACACGTGTTTTATGGTTTTTTGTAATTTTTGAATATATATTTTTTTTCATTTTTTTAGAATTTATTTTTCATTATTTATAAACTTAATTTGATTTTTTGAATATTTTTAATTTTTAAAATTGTTTATGAAATCAACTTTTTTTTGAATATTTTTCAGATTTTATATTTTAATTTTATTTTTATTTTTCGTATATGTATATTTTTATTTTATTTTTTAAAATAACCACATCTTCATAAAAGTTTGTCTAAAACATTTTTAATAGTTTCAAAACATTGTTATCTAATTCACTCATGTTATTCATAAATTTAACGGTTATATATATATATATTCTATTCTATTTTAACCTTTTATTAAACTTCTGATTTTTTTTATATTTTTGCAATTTATATATTTTATATAAATTATATTAACTATTTAAAAATTGCATTGTAAAAAGGGTATTTTACAAGAATATTACTAAAATAAAAGTTATTTACATAAATATGACTATTCATTACTACAACGTAGTGTTGTGGTAACTTAAGTTCAAAATTTGAACATGAATTACTATGATTTCATTACTATTCTAGTAACTAGTCATAATTTTTGCAAATCATCTTTATTTTGGTCATATTTATGTAATTATTTCTTGTGAAAATCGTGTTTTGAACCTTTTTACAATTTTCCCACATTTTAAACTATTTTAAGCTTTGTATTTGTTTAATTTTAAGTTTTCCATATGTTTTTTATTTTCTCATTTATTTTTAAAATTTAAATTCATTAATATAATTTTTTTAATTCAATATTACAGTTTTCCATCTCTTTTTGCTTCGAGTTTTTATGTTTTTTAAATTAAATTTTTGTTTTCAATTCTTAATGAATATTTTAATTTTTGTTTTAAAAAAAAAAAAGAAATTTTGTACCAACACTTTGTATTAGTTGCTGGAGAAATGAGTATCTAGTGATTCAAGTGGTACGTACATGTCCCAGGAGAAGTGTTCCAGTACAAATGCTTCATACGAACAAATGGTCTATTTTTGAAAACAAGATTTTAAGCGGTTCATATTTGAAAAGAACTTTTAAAAGTGAAAAAGGTGATATTAGTTTCTCCCTTTGGTCTATTTCCGAAAAAATCCCTAATAAAAAGAGTAAAAACTTGGGCTGGACCAAACTTCATCAAAACAAAATTAGGGGTTGGTCTCACATAAAAAAAACTAAAGATAAAGAGGAAGAAAGTAGGTTTCACCGCTAACGGAAGTATTTGGTTAATGGCTTATCGGCCATTTTTTGGCTGATTTGATCAATATTGGCCTTTTGAATGTATCAATAAGACAATAAGTCTGTTTGATAAAATAGCTTTTTTTTGGATGAAATGTAAATTTATATTAACACCCAAAGAAAACAATACATCAAAAAGGTTCTTGATCTCCCAACCCCCCTCCCCCACCCCCTGTCTAGTGTAAGGGTTATGAGAGATTTTTATTCAATCTAAATCGAAATCAAAAGGGGCCTAAGTATACAATACTTAAATGCCCCAAAAGCTCAAACCAATCGGTGCTGCAAAGTGCACGCACACACCACACCAAAATACATCCATCAGAAGAAAAAGTCATGGCCAAGAGGAGGTTATAATGCACACTCCCCTTAGCCCAAAAAATAAATCATGGTGTTGCAATGTGCCCACACCCTAGACCAAGAAAGATGATGCCGCGACTTCAGAAAGGAGACGACATCCACCCGGATCTTATACGCCACATGTTTGATCTTAGCAATCACATCTTCTTCTGTCTTCGTTCCTCCGTCAAATCGTATCTCATTCCTCGCATGCCAAATGTAGTAGACCGTGGCACAGAATGCTAGACGAGCAGCTTTGGCCTTCATCGTTGATCCTTTGTGTGTCTTCATGATCCACTTGATTGAGCTGAGCATTGTTGTCATTTGGCGTCCAATTCCAATCCAATCCCTAATCTCATCTCATACCCTACAGGAAAATGGGGATAAAATAGCTTTTTGATTTGTCTTTTGGTCTCAAAGAGCCAAAATGAAAAACGCCAATAAACATAGCTTTTAGAACTTAGCAGTTCGATTTCTTCGTAACACTCCCAAGATACCCGACCTCCCTTTCCTTCAACCTTACTCGTAGACTTCTCGTCAAACTGTCAAAACACTAATATACCTCCACTTTTCATTGAAATCTACGATTTCCCTTCCTCCAAAGCATGTTCAATCTGTATCTTCAATTGAATCTGATCATAACATTCACGTCAATCTATCTTTTCTTTTAACTTGAGTATCAAATGTCCTAGGACTATTTTTTCTAATTTTTATACGGGAGATTTCCCAAAATAGGAGTAATTGGAGTTTGGAATTCCAAAATAGCACTAATATGTTTTAATTCCCGAAATAGGACTAACATGACAGTATTTACTGTTATCTTGTAGGCGTGATTGTCAAATAATTGCAGTACAATGCATTTAACATGACGATATTTATTGTAATTAATGACAGTATTTTTCTATCATGGCAGTAACAACTCCTATTTCGGGAAGAAAAACATAGTAGTCCTATTTTGGAATTTCAAACCTCATTTACTCCTATTTAAGACAATTTCCCTTTTTATACGTATATTCTTCTACATGTAATTATGTAGGTTTTCTTGAACTTTCGAATACGTATACATAGTATATTGTATTGTATATGAAAACCTAAATAGCTTTTGGTGGAAACAATGTGGTAGAAGTGCATTGGCAAAAGTGTAAGAAGTATTGAAAATCTAAATAGCTTTTGCTGGCAAAATTGTTTATTAAACTGAAAATAAACAATTGATGTATATACATATATATAAAATGCATAGTAAATAAAAATAACAATTAATGTACTTAAAAGTCATTTGACAAGTTATCAGCTAAGTGTAAACAATCATTCTTATCAAACATCAATTTACAAATTGCTAATAATATTGGCCAACCAAAATAGCTAATAGAAACCGGTGTCTTCAATCAACACAATCTGTCAACAGCCAACCGTCAACGACCAATTGCCAAACACCTCAACGTAACCCCAATACCCCATCTTAACTTTGAAGTCACACAAACAAATAATTTATATTTTATTCAAGTCGCATGGCTTATAAAAATAACTAACAAACCTCAAAATTGAGGGTTTCCATGTAGAGTTTATCTATATTTTGAGCATGAATTATATACTTTTTTTTGCTATATAGATTTAAAAAAATCATTGACGGTTGCTATACAGAATTTCCCAGATTTCGTGTCTACGACATCAATTGTACAATTTTTTTTGAAGGAAAATGAATTAATTATCATTAATATTATCAATGTTCAGTACATGAGTAATGAAAGAAGGGGGATAATCATTCCAAGAAATGCAATCAAACAAAGAACAGGCGACTTGAGCCAGCCTGGAGCCGCCTTGTTCGCTGATCGCCGAATGTGAGAAAAAGATATCTCCTTAAAACTCGACCTCAGCTCCCTAATATCCTCCGCAATGACTCCAGCCAGAGATTCACTTGACCCGCTAAGAACTTCTGAAACTGCCTTGGAAGCATTGGATTCAACGTCGATGAAGTCCCAGCCTCTTTCTTTCACCCAACTACGAGCTTCCCTGATCCCGACCAGCTCTGCTTCCAACGGGGCTAGCTGGCCACACCATAACTTTGAAACACCAGCCACAAATTCTCCGAACTCGTACCGAACAAGCCAGCCCAAACCACTGCGACTCCCCTTGACTGCAGCGTCAACATTCAACTTCAGTCTCCTTGGCTCAGGTCTTCTACTTCGTATTACACAACAACTTGAATGCTTAAAAGTAAACAAACCATAACAGATGGGAAACAAACGAGTGTTATCATTTCTTATACACACTTGCATATTATTACTAGTTTACTACACTATAAAAGTGTTTTTTAACTCTTGGAAGGTAAACCACCGCATCCAGTGGGGCAAATGTCGGGGAACATTTGCCGTATTTTTATTAGTGAATAGAGAAATCAATACAAAAAGAGAGGGGCACTAGACCAAAACCTCTCCTAAAGGCATTCCTTCCAGAATCGACGACAAAAAGTACTCAAAAAGAAATTGAGTACTCAACCAACCACCGCCTTAGATCTGCCAACAACAGCCTCCATCGACCGTTCCAGTTAGTATCATCAAGTAATTCCAAAATGACCTGTGAACCAGATTCAGCCTCAAAGCCTCTGTATCCAAGCTGAAGCACCCAAGACATCGAGAAGTGTAAGGCCAAGAGCCCTGCTTCAGTCGCGGAAAATGCATCGACTGGAAAATGACAACCAGGCAGTAAATCACCCACCTGAGACATCATCACCGCTCCACCCTTCGCACTACCCTGGCGAAACGAAGCGTCAACATTGAGTTTGAAATTTAGTTCAGGTAATTCCCAACGAACTAACTTGATTCGTGCTTTACAAACCTGAAAGGACTTAGAAATCAAATGCTCTTCCAACAGAACCAGTGGGATAGGCTTATTTGTGATTTTCAACTTAGCTATGGACCACTTCTGGGCAAATGCCCTAATCTGCAACATAGTAGATTCATATGAAATTAGGTCATAATCCCCACCCCCAAGCTAAATTTGAGTAAACTGATATAACACATGATCCATAAAATCAGAATCCTTTTAACACAAAGGGTAGATTGATGGAAATATTGCAGCATTAAACCGGCCCCCTGTTTTAACTACAAATTAACTAATCTATGAATATGGAATTGAGTTGGGAATCAAGCAAATAAGATCGAATAAGAATGATTGACAAGATAAAATAAATGGATTTATCTATAATCGATAATTTGAATATAATATGAATAGCTATGAACTCCAATAGAGAGAATAGGAGAGCTCTTTTGTGTGTATTTGTAACTGAATGTCCTGATTACATAGAGCCTGAGCTATTTATAAGAGATGCATTTAATGTACTTTTGTCCGTTGACGACATGTTCCGACCGTTACGACGACATGTCCGACCGTTACGACGACATCAATATCGTCATTATTGCATCATCAATTCTGGTCAGCCCTTTGAGTAACCTATGTCATAATTACAATAACCACTCTAATTATATACATAAAACTGCCCAGATTTAATTAGCTAACATTACTTCTAATTAATTGCCATGGTCAAGCCTTTTTGAATGTAGTCCAAGCTATCAAATCCGTGTACCAACAATTGCCCCCTTTTCGAGAAGTTGGGGCGAATGATGCATACGTCCGTCGACTTATTCAGCAACGACTTGTCGAAAATTTGAAAGTACACTTCGCATATTGGTTCAATGCATCGTTACATATTGATCAACTTGTCTAACTTAAATGCTTTCCCTCTAGCATTGTGCTGACGATTAGATGACAGAAATTTGTAACAGCATCATGTCGACACCTCAGCTGGCAAAGGGAACATCACCCGTCGTTAAAGATGACGAGTTGTGTTGTGTGAACATAGTCCATAACCTGCAAAAACTTTGAATAACGTTTCGTTTGTAATTTTATCAATATTGTCAACATGAGTGTTTATGTCGTTCGTAGTGTCTCCTTATGTTTTAGAGCTAATGTCGTCACATTTCTGTTGCGTATTTTTGTAGTTTTGAATGTGGTTGTTGTTCCACATGATGATGTCATTTGTACGTGTACTGTTGTTGCTTTGTGTTTGTCTGACTTTGATGTTGTCAGCATTTGTGATGTATGATCTGTCTGTTATTTTGGTGTCGCACAATCATGTTTGATGTCAGCGTTGTTTTTTATGTTCGTTCTGTTTGTTGTTTTGGCCAAAACGTATTGTATGGGTTCTGTTAGGACTGTGATCCATGATTTCTCATGGGCAGCCTAACCCTTCCCATTAAATTCTGTAAGCCCCCGTCAATTGTGTTTTGACGTGTTGTAAGGCTTCGTTTGATGTAAGCCCCCCGTCAATTGTGTTTTGACGTGTTGTAAGGCTTTATTTCATGTAAGCCCCCCGTTAATTGTGTTTTAACGTGTAAGGGGGTTGCGTCTAGTTACCGTTAGCATTTATCGTTGTGTGTGTATAGTACTGGTCGTCTCTCATTCCGTCGATATCCTGCATAAAGACATGTTGTCAAAGTTTGGTCGTTGGCTTTTAGCCAACGGTCCTCCGACGCTTAAGTTAGTGATCGTTTATAGTCATAAGAAAGTAATAAATTAAGAATACGTATATGAAACTAAATGTCTATCGTCAGAACATGTCTATAGTCAGACCGTTTCACTCATCTCGTCAGGTTTATTACCTAACGATATGCCCTTTTATTTGTCAAATTGAGTGAACAGACTAACGTGGCAATACGTACTATGACTGTTGTCACGTACCTGGTATATCACTTGTTCGTTTCATGATTAAGAATTACCTTTATTGATTTGTTAGTTCCGACTGTTCTGATGTTATCAGCCTGCAATTGGTCAGAATCTTATTTGGCCGTGGGCTTGAGGCCAACGGCCCTCCGACGGTCAAGATAGTATGAGGATCAAATGAATCGTATGATGAATTTAACTACGAGTGATTAGAAATGAAAAGGTTTTAGGTGTACCGCATTCCAGCTCCTTGGTATTTGTTTACCGTCAATGGATTCCAACCGGTATGCCCCCTGTCCGACGACATCTGTAATCTGATATAGGCCTTCCCAATTAGGACTAAACTTTCTGTTCGCTTCGTTGCCGAAGGATTTTCTGAGTACCCAGTCACCTTTCTTGAATATTTTAGCTCGGACATCCTTGTTGTAGCTTCTTGCCACCCTTTGTTGATAGGCGGCCATTTGTACTTTAGCTTTCTCTCTCAATTCGTCAATAGTGTCAAGGTCATGAACCAGCTCTATGTTGTTTGCTGCCTCTGTGATAAGTTTGTATCTGGATGTTGGCACCTCAACTTCGACTGGAATGACAGCTTCGCATCCATACACCAACGAAAAAGGCGTTTGTCATGTGGCATTTTTTTGGTGTTGTCCGGTCTGCCCATAATATAAGTGGTAACTCGTCGGCCCACTTTCCTTGTGCTTTCTCCAATCGTTTCTTTAGATTTGAGATGATGATCTTGTTGCTTGACTCAGCTTGTCCATTCGATTGTGGATAGCGTGGTGTCGACATCTCCAGTTTGATGTTGTACTTCTCACAGAATCGTCTGGTTTTGATGCCGATGAACTGTGACCCATTGTCGCAGACGATCTCTGACGGGATGCCAAACCTGCTCAATATATTTCTTTTGATAAAAGATATTACCTGGGTGTCACGGATTTGTCGGAAAGGTTCAGCTTCGATCCACTTTGAGAAGTAGTCAGTCATTGCCAACATGTAGACCTTTTGTCCGGGTGCTTCGGGCAGCTTTCCTACGATGTCCATGCCCCACTTCATGAAGGGCCAGGGGATAAGACAGGATGTAGTGCTTCTGCATGTTGGTGGTGTACTGGTGCATGTCTTTGGCATGGTTGACAAGCTTGAGTGTATGCGACAGCATCGTGCCTCATCGTTGGCCAATAATAGCCAAACCTCAGGGCTTTGTTAGACAGACTTCTTCCTGCTGCGTGGTTGCCACACTCTCCTTCATGGAGGCTTTTAAGTACTTTGACAGCTTTGGGTGGGGCTAAACACCTTTGATATGGTCCTGCCTTTTAACGTTTGAACAAGACATCATTAATTAATAAAAATTTTGTTACCTTTGATAGGAATGCCCTTGCTTCTCTTTTGTCAGTTGGTAGGATGTTATGTTTGAGATAGTCTATAAATGGCTGCATCCAGTTGCTGTCCGCAGTTGACTCAATGATGTTGAGCATTTCTGACCGTTCAATAGCCGGCTGTGTCAAATGGACACGTGGGATGTTGTCACTGCTTCCTGCCCTGAGACATGACCCTACTGCTGCCAAGGCATCAGCTTGAACATTTTCCTCCCTCGGGATTTGCTCAAAAGTTATGTCGTCAAAATGGTGACTCAAATTGGTGACGACTCGTAGATATGCCATCATCTTCGGGTCTTTCGCTGCGTAAACTTCCGTTAGTTTGATTAACAATTAAAAGGGAATCGCACTTTACCTCGATTGTTTTCATGCCCAGGTTTCGAGCTAAGTTTAGCCTGAAAATCAGTGCCTCATATTCTGCTTCATTGTTTGTTGCGTTGAAATCACATCTGACAGCTTGTACTATATTGCCCCCTTGTGGTGACTTCAGCATAACACCAAGTCCGGCCCCATGCATGTTCGAGGCTCCGTCAGTGTGTAAGGTCCATTTTTGTTGGTGTTGGTCTTCCCTCAGCAGGCATATCTCTTTTTCTGCTTCCATTTGTAGTTTGGGACTGAAGTCCGCCACAAAATCAGCTAGAGCTTGTGATTTCAAAGCTGTCCTAGGCTCATACTTGATGTCGTATGCCCCCAGCTGCATTGACCATTTGATCATCTGACCTGTCAATTCTGGTTTCCTCATCATGATTGACTTCATGGGATAGTTAGTACGAACACAAATAGAATGTGATTCGAAATAAGGTCGCAATTTAATTGATGCTGTAACTAGTGCGAGTACTAATTTTTCTAAGAGTGCGTACCTGGTTTCCGGCCCATTTAATGAATTACTTACATAGTAAACTGGTGTTTGTCGGCCGTCTTCTTCCCGGGTCAGGAATACACTGACAGCATGTTCTGACACTGCTAGATACAACTGTAGTTTCTCGCCATCTTTAGGTTTTGTCAGCAGCGGCGTTGTTGTCATGTATTCTTTCAATTGTTGTAAAGCTTTTTCGTGTGGTTCCGTCCATTCGAATTTCCTATTTTTTCTTAGGACATCATAAAAAAGTCGACATCTGTCTGACGACTTCGATGTTAATCTGTTGAGCGCCGCAACTCGTCGTGTCAGTTTCTGGACATCTTTGATTGATTTGGGAGATTCAATGTCAAGTATGGCTCGTATCTGCCTCGGGCTAGCTTCTATCCCTCTTTCGCTGACAATGTATCATAGGAACTCTCCTGACGACACCCCGAATGTGCACTTGGCAGGATTAAGCTTTAAATTGTACTCTTGCAATTTCAGGAATGATTTCCGCAGGTGTCCGATGTGGTCTGATGCCATTTTGGATTTAACCAACATGTCGTCGATGTAAACCTCCATAGTTTTCCCAAGTTGTTCTTTGAAGATCGTCGTTACCAATCTTTGGAAAGTGGCACCTGCATTTTTTAGATCAAATGGCATAACAACATAACAATATGTACCTGTCTCCGTGATGAATGCAGTCTTCTCCTGGTCATCAGGGTGCAATTGAATTTGATGGTAGCCGCTGAAAGCGTCCATGAACGTCAACATCTCATGTCCCGCTGTGGCATCCGCGAGGATGTCAATATGTGGCATCGGAAACATGTCTTTTTGGACAAGCCTTGTTCAGATCAGTGAAGTCGACGCACACCCTCCCCTCTGGTTTCTTGCCTTTCTGGTGGACTTTCTTTTTCTGCACTACAACAACATTAGCGAGCCAAATCGGGTACTTTACCTCGCGAATCTTACCGGTGCGTAGCAGTGTCTCGACTTCCTGGTTGATGATGTCGTTCCTTTCTCTGGCGAAGCGTTGTCTCTTCTGTTGGACTGGCTTGTGTAAGGGGTTGACGTTAAGCTTGTGGGTGATCACTCGCGGATCGATACCAGTCATGTCGTCATGACTCCAGGCGAAGACATCTTTATGTTCTTTCTGAAAAGTTACAAGTTCTTTCTCCAATTGAGTCGGCATGTTGCCCCCAATGCGGACGACTCTATCCGGATGATCCGGGTCGATGATGATGTCTTTTGTGTTGCTGTCATCTTCCCCAACCGGAACGAAGTCGCCCTTTTGTTTCTACGCAGAAGTTGTCGTAGAGGCAGATGGCTTCATCGCTGTTTGGTAGCATGATTTAGCAGCTGCCATGTCGCCTTGGATGGATTGCACTCCCCACGGTGTTGAAACTTTGACAACCTGATGATATGTTGACGGGATTGCCCCCATTTGATGTAGCCAAGGCGTCTCCAATATCATGTTGTAGGCGGGCAGATCTTGGACTACATCGAATTTTACCTGCAAGTTAAGACCAACAGTATGTACAGACAAAGAAACATTACCTATTGTCTGGCTTGGTTCGCCATTGAATCCGACAAGGGTGGAGCCAAACGTAGCCAGGTCTTCTTCTTTGTATCACATCTGCTTTAGCGTCTTCAATGTTGTGATGTTGGTTGTGCTGCCGTTGTCAACCAAGACTCGCCTCACCTCACAATTCACCACCCTAAGAGCAATGACTAAGGTGTCATGATGGGCATCGCCTGAGCTAGTCAGATCCGTTTCATCGAACGTGATAGTCTCACGTCTCCAGGCTTCCTCCTTTCGGACGACTTGGTACGCTTGTGACGACTTGTCTCAGGAATACTCCCGAGCTTGTCTCTTCGCTGCAGAGTAGGTTAGTCCACATAAATCTGAACCACCATTAGTGAAATTAATTACCTTTTGGGGGTCTGTAGGCGAGCGAGGTCGTCGTTGACCCTCAGACGACTTCAGATTCCTATGCAACATGGATTTGGTTTGTTCCGTCATGATTTCCGTCAAATACCCGTTTCTCAGTAGGTAGGCAACTTCTTTCCGCAAGGAAACGCAATCTTTTGTGTTATGGACGATGTCGTTGTGGTCCGCAGCGAATCTGAGATCGTAAAGCGTCGTTTTCCCTTTGTAGGAAGGCTATGCGTTGACGTATTTCCTCCCTGACAGCCTCCATTTGCGCCTGAACATCATCCGCCGAAGGATTAGAGCTCCTGGCCAAGCGCAACTCTTCCCTGACAGCTTGCAATTGGGTTTGAATTTCCTCCATCAAAGTGTTAGAGCTTTCAGCCAAGATCGATCTTCTTTTTGCAAGAATTTCCCACAGACGGCGCCAATTGTTTTAACTAGAAATTAACTAATCTATGAATATGGAATTGAGTTGGGAATCAAGCAAATAAGATCGAATAAGAATGATTGACAAGATAAAATAAATGGATTTATCTATAATCGATAATTTGAATATAATATGAATAGCTATGAACTCCAATAGAGAGAATAGGAGAGCTCTTTTGTGTGTATTTGTAACTGAATGTCCTGATTACATAGAGCCTGAGCTATTTATAAGAGATGCATTTAATGTACTTTTGTCCGTTGACGACATGTTCCGACCGTTACGACGACATGTCCGACCGTTACGACGACATCAATATCGTCATTATTGCATCATCAATTCTGGTCAGCCCTTTGAGTAACCTATGTCATAATTACAATAACCACTCTAATTATATACATAAAACTGCCCAGATTTAATTAGCTAACATTACTTCTAATTAATTGCCATGGTCAAGCCTTTTTAAATGTAGTCCAAGCTATCAAATCCGTGTACCAACACCCCCGTTATCAGAAAAAGGAAGAAATCTATGAAAGACCTTCCACTGAAATACTTGAATTTGACACAAGATGGAGACTATTTCTGAAATAAAAAGAGCAGGGTTGAAAAAGCGAAAGATCACGGAAGAAAGAATAAAAGCCACAGATCATAAATGAAATGCAAATGTTAAATGTGGCTCAAACGGGTAATTAGCACTTTTTATTATTGATATAAATTTAATTACAGCCTACCCAAAATAATACCCAAAGCCCGAGCCTACATACTCCGTATTAGAGACCGTTTGACAACAATTTTTTCGGCTTATCAGCCAACTTTTTCACCAAACACGTAACTTTTGCTTTGGTGCGCATAATTGTGTAATAAGCAGAAAAAGTAAAATTGAAGTTACTTTTCTGGCTGTATTCACTGAAGTTAATGTAGAGAATCATTTTAGCTATTTTTACATATAATTTTTTCTCTCTAAAAAAAACATATAATTTTTTCTTTATTTTATTAATAAAATATATTTTAAAAATAATTTTTTCTTAAATCAGCAGAATCAATCAATGCAACCACTCCGTAACATGAATCCATGAAACTTAGAGCATCTTTAATGCTAAAACGTTAACGGTGCATCAGAAATAACCAATTAAAAAATAATAAATACAATATATCTCTCCTTATTTAAAGGATCTTACATCATTTTGGTAAGTTTATCTTCACAATGTCAAGCACAATGTCTAGATGTAGACATTGTGATTGACATTGCAGACAAAAACTTACCATAAACACATAAGACCGTGGAAAGAAGGTGAGAGATATTGTATTTATTATTTTTTAATTGGTTATTTTCACCGTTAACGCTTTAACATTGGAATTACCGAAATCCCCCTATATTTGTGATACCAAATCCTCTTAGATTTTCAATTTCTGGTAGCATTCCGCCAAACCTGTGTCCAGCATCCCTGAAGTGCGAAGTCCAGTTGCCAGCGCGACGTGCGTTGCTTATGTTGCCAGGGCTTTTTTTTTTTTTTTTTTTTTTTTTTTTTTTTTTTGCTTATGTTTCCCGTAATGACCGTAGTTCGGAACAGCATACGTTATGTTCTGGTATTTTGCCTTTGTTTCCTTAAGCCCTAAACCCTCGAATAGTGAGATTTCTCGCGCAGAAGCAGCTTAGAAGAACGACGCAATGCATTTCTCCAAAGCGGTTCAGCTAAGAGGTCGTAGAGCCTTCCCTTCTCTATTCAACGGCCTCACCTTTCTACGTTCAATGGGAGGTGGCCCTCGGACGTTTCCTGGTGGGCTCAATAAGTGGCAATGGAAACGCCTCCACGAGAAAAAAGCCCGAGAGAAGGAGAGAAAACTCCTTGATCATGAGAAACAACTTTACCAATCCCGAATTCGAGCTCAGATAAGATCAAAGCTCTCCCCTTCCGGAGAACAGGCCAGTGCCGTAGCTAACCAGCCAAGTCACAGCCCTATGTCCCCTCAAGAACAAATCAAGGCTCTAGCCGACAGGTTCATGAAGGAGGGCGCTGAAGATTTGTGGAACGAAGATGATGGCCCTATTGAGGCTCCCGCACAGGATCCACACTGCCGAGTGATTACTGAGCCTAGTAATTTGCGGAGAACAGTGTCGAAAGTTACAAATTCTGGGAATAGTTCCAGGAATTTCAGTTCTTGGTCAAGCTCTAGACGTTTCTCCAGTGATGCTATATGTTCTGTGAGGCCACTTCATTTTCCAGGTTCAGGTGAAAATGGAGTTTCCCAAAATTTGTTTGCTTGGTCAAGAGAAATGTATATCCCCCCATTTTCACAGAGAATGGGTGATTGTAAATATGTGAATCATGCTATGCTGCATAGTTTATTAACAACCAGAAGCTATTCCCATGATACAAGGACTACACATAGTGTAAAGAGGCTTGGTTTTCAAAAACACAAGAGTCTGAAGATTGAAGATGGTTCACAGAAGGATACAATTTCATCAAGAGGACGAAAAGCCAAGTGGCCAAGGTTTAGGTCAAACATGACCGACTCATCTGATGATGACGATGATGATGATGTAGTGGGCAAAGAAGAACAGAGCGTTTCTAGTGTTAAGAGAATGAGCAGTGCTTCTTTGGGGAAGCATGACATGAAGGTTAAAAAGAGGGTGCCAATACAGTTTGTAGAAGACGAGGAAGATTTATCACATAAAGTTGAGGAAATTCGCAAGGAGGTCAATCAGAGGAGATTGGAAAAATGTGGTGGGGAAGAAAAAGAGGAAGAATTTGATTCTGTTCTTAGTTTGAAAAGGTATATGGTATGTCTCTGACATTAAAAACAGTTTCAAAGGTTTGATAGATGTCTTGAGATTAAATTTGAATCTCACAATGATTGTGTGAATAATCTGAATACGTGAGCCTGACTTCATTAGGTTTGATGAATGTGAGATATCTCCATCCACTGTGAAGGCACTTGTGGAAGCAGGTTATGTGCAAATGACTAGGGTTCAAGAGGCTACTCTATCTGCTTGTCTTAATGGTATGTCTTTTTACTTAGGCTACTACTCATTCAGGTTATTAGTTCTGGCATGTTCTGCAGATTACGTGGTGTGCGTAGGTTTTCCTTTATTTGGCTGAAATGGATGTTACCAAACACATTTCGTTTAAAAACTGCGGCAGAATGTGCCAGTTTATACAATAAATCTTACCATGCGAGCCCAAAATTTTAAATCAATTTTATCTGTAGCATGCTTTTTTTAGCGTGTTTAATCTCGAGAACTTGGAGCTATGTCATTCGAATTCATTGTACTTATGTTCATCGGCAATTAAGGACATTGTGGGTACTCATTCTGAAGAGATGGCATGATACATTTGTTCAGATTAAAAGCATTAATCTAATCTGGAGTTTATTTCTACTTTCAAAAGTAAAAGATTTATTTCTGGTTCAGTTTGAGTAGCCTAGGCTCTGTTTGGCAGCATTTTCTGATGCAAATATTACCAAGTGCTTCTTTATTTTTTTTTGAAAGGATTCAGACATGTCTCAGCCAAATGAGCCTTACCAAACGGACCCCTAATTCCTTTAATTTTTTATTTTATTGCCCATTTAACAGGAAGAGATGCATTAGTCAAGGCGAGGACTGGAACTGGGAAAAGTGCAGCTTTTGTGGTATACTTTGTTTTTCATTACATTTAGATTATAGTTTTCTATTGTGAAGTTTTGTTCACTGCTGCTGTTAAGCACAAACAGATCCCTGCTATTGAAACAGTTTTGAAACCCGAACAAAGCAGGACAGTTGAGAGGGTCCCACCTGTATGTGTGTTAATTTTATGCCCAACACGAGAACTTGCAAGTCAGATAGCTGCAGAAACAAATGTATTACTGAAGTACCATGAAAACATTGGTGTGCAAACACTGGTCGGGGGAACACGCTTCAAGGTTGATCAAAAACGTTTGGAAACATATCCATCCCAGGTACATTCGCCCCATCTTGACTTATATTGGTTATTGACTTCTCTAGATTTCACCTAATATCGTTTAGCACGGGGTTGTGTCATCATATCTCAAATATTGTTTCTATTTCAAGAGAAATAGACAGTACAGGGCTACAGGCTACAGAGAATAGAAGTAGCAAGGAGAGAAAGGGGGAAGAAAAAAAGTCTTACTCTTGTTTTGGTTAAAAGGAATTAAAAGAAGATTAAAAATAGGAATGGTCCACCACGTTTTTGTTTTCTCCCCTACTATAACAAGGAAATGTAAAAGAAGGTTAACTGTTTTTAATTTTGCTATTACATCCTGATCGGTTTTAAACGCAGAAAGGTATATTCCTTATTGTGCAGAAAATATTGTTTCAATTATAAAATCATTTATAGTTATCAGTCCTATTAAGTTGATGTTTAACAATTTGTTAATTTTGTAGATTATAGTAGCCACTCCAGGTAGATTGCTAGACCACATTGAGAATAAGTCTGGATTCTCTACACGCTTGATGAGATTGAGGATGCTTATACTAGATGAAGCAGACCACTTACTTGATCTAGGTTTCCGAAAAGATATAGAAAAGATTGTTGATTGTTTGCCTCGACAAAGACAGTCTTTACTCTTTTCTGCTACCGTTCCTAAGGAGGTTATACGTCCTATGGCAATTTCTAGTGCTTTGAGGTTCTTTCGGATGGAAGGTTTTGGTGGAGAAGGATTTGGCCTTTTAGTTTATATTTTAACTTGATTTGTAAATTTGAGATTTTATTAAATTGGATTGATTAGCATTTAGCACAATATGCGATTGTATACCATCTCAATCACTTTTTATTTGTTTTTAGAAACATCATACTGGTATTTATCAAGATACAGTTTAAACTCCCCATACACCCCGTCCTAACCTCTCCATCCAAACAGGTACTTAGAACCTTGTTTGAATCAGGATATGAAATCTATATTATGGACATGCAGGTTCGCCGAATATCTCAACTTGTTTTGAAAAGAGAACATGCATATATTGATACAGTGGGGCTTGGTTTGGAGACCAACACAAAGGTATATAATGACTCGTCATGAATTTCCACTTCGCAAGGCTGCTTCTCTCTCTTTCTTTATTTTTTCCTTCTTTCTTCAATGAAAATCTATGTTGCACGGAAACGTAAAAATCCCGGGGCAACGGGAATTGCATCTTTTATTTCCATAGAGTTTCCGAAACGGAAACATACTTTTTCCCGAGAGATTCCATAACTCATAGATAAAAATCAATCTGTGTGATGAATATGAAATAGGGTGTGTTTACTAAATAGAGTAGATCTTCACTTCTATAGTTTGTACAACCTTATTCCAAAAATTTGTTTTTAAATTGTAAAATGGTTGCGAGTAATTTTTCATTTATGTTAATATACTTAATATACATGTTTTCCATCATTTTCAATGGAGCCAATGATTCACTATTTTTTGGCTTGAGAACATGATGGAATAAAGCAAAATGACTCACTAAACCGTCTGCGCTTCTTTGTTATGAAGCAGTAGTCGGTCCGTGCAATTTTGGACGCGATTTTCACTATGTGTCATCTGGAAACAATCTCTCTGTGTTGTAGTACATGGGTAAGACTGCGTACATCCGACCCACCTTTACCCCACTGTAGGTGGGAACCTTTGCGGCACTGGGGTAAATGAAAATGAAAATGAAATGATGACTTAATATACATGTTCCCATTACAGAAACGGAAAAAGAACTTTGAAAAACTAGAAATTTGTGGATATGTTTTCAAATTTCCTACTTGGAGAATTGGAAAACAAAGAATTGAGTGGACCTATTTGTTTCATTTCTAGGAGAAACTTTTGAGTACAATTGTACAAGATGAGTAATCTCTTTCTCTGTATTAAATTACAAATCCATACTTGAGTGATCTCTGCCATTAATTTTGGATTGCTGAACAGGTCAACCAATTTTATCTTGTGGCACCTCATGAACAACATTTCCAAACGGTGCATCAGCTTTTGAGCAGTCATATCTTGGAAGAACCTGATTACAAGGTATAAGTTTAATTTTGGCTAGATTTTAGTTCTGTTGATCATGAAACAATGGGATGCACATGGAAACTGAATTCCAATAATTTTGATTCAATTCATGTTGTCCTGGTCAAAGTATGGACACACCAAAGCTCAACCATGGAGGTATTCTTTGGTGCATAAGCAATATGGCTAATCATCCCCAGAATCTCAAGTATTTTGTACTCTTGTTAGCCCGCCTTCATAGCCTTTTAATTGCTTTGAAAGAAGAGACGCCTAATCTCCACAGAAATGCATCAAAGATGTATTTCCCTAGTTTTCCTAGTTTCAGATATTATTCATCATAATATTTCTTTTCTTTTCTTTCAGATTATCGTTTTTTGTACAACAGCGATGATGACTTCACTCATGTTTTCTCTGTACCGGGAAATGAAAATGAATGTCAGAGAGATACATTCCAGAAAACCTCAAATTTATCGGACTCGAATCTCGGATGAATTTAAGGAAATGAAACGTGTAATTCTCATATCATCTGATGTCTCAGCCCGTGGAATGAATTATCCAGATGTCACATTGGTTATTCAGGTATATTCACCTTCAATCCAGATGTCACATTGGATGCTATTTTATTTCAAGTCTTCTCATGTGACTTGGTGGTAATGGGTTGTTGTTTACAAGTTATCCTTTGAGCTTTGGTGAAATTCTAAAATGGTTCCTCAAACTTTTTTTTTTAAAATCAAATAACATATATTTAGCAATCAAACCGAAGCAAGTTTACAATACAATCCGGTGGAGTTCCCACCCATAAACAATCAGACTCCGAATCGGCCTGCCGAGCCAAAGTATGGGCAACCCGATTCGCTGATCGCTTCACAAAATGGACACTTAACTTAGCAAACTAGCTATCATATGTCTAATCTCAGCAAAAATGCTATCCTCGTAAGCAATACCATCCGAAGTTGCAATCCCCTGGACCACTGAGAGAGCATCGGATTCAATAACCACACTTGACCACCCGGCCTGTCCTGCCCAAATAACAGCCTCTCGAACCGCTAGAGCTTCCGTTGTACTAGCCGCAAACCTTCCCCGCACTCGTATACTTCTTCCTGCAATAAAAGAGCCTCGTTCATCTCTTGCAACCAGCCTGATAGATACCAACTAAGAGCAGTACAAGGATGAATAAGAAAACAGGAATCTGGATAAGATGATCACAGAATTCCTGAATTGTATTAATGGCAGAAACTGTAAAGAAACAATGAAGAAAGAGAAACTGTTGGGACAATTTCGAGAGTGCCCTCTCTCCACTAACTTCCAAGTTCTGCCTACCTCCCATCAACCTCATATTACAATATATATAGGCCCACCAGACTACTCTTACTCCTCTTTTATTTAATAGGCCCACCTGACTTCTCTGACTCCTCAATTATTTATTAGGCCCATCCGATTACCCTTACCCCCCTTTTAATTATTCTGCCGCCCTCTTCTTGTATAAACATTATCAAAATACTGGACAGTAATATTATTATTATTATTATTATTAGTCTTCACGCCTCCAGTGATGTCTCCATCATTACTCCCCCCTTGGACATCCACCTTGTCCTCAAGGTGAAAAGCTGGAAAAAGTTCCTTCAATCTGCTCACAAGTTCCCAAGAGTCTTCAAATTCAGGTAGTTCTTTCCAATGAACCAGAGCCTCTTGTTTTCCATCTGCATTCACTCGAATTGCTAGCACCTGTTCAGGAGTTGTCTGTAGCTCCCACTCTTCCGATAGACACTTAGGTAATGGTTGGCAGTGCATAGTGGATGCCACAGATTTCTTCAACAATGATATATGAAAAACTGGATGCACTGTACAATCTGCTGGCAGTTTCAACTTGAATGCAACAGGGTTTATTTTCTCAATCACTTCGAATGGACCATAAAACCTGGGGCTCAGTTTCTGGTTCACTCTTTTTGCTAGACTTTTCAGTTTGTAGGGTTGAATCTTCAGATAGACCATATCCCCAATCTCCAGTGGCACTTCTCTTCTTTTTCTATCTGCTTGTTGTTTCATCTTGTTCTGAGCTATGGCTAATGTCTGTTTCAGTTCTTCTAACATGATATTCCTCTCTGCAGTTAGTCTAGATACCTCTTCATTAGCTGTCACAGTCACATCCCCTTTGATTAGAATTGGAGGTTCTTGGCCATAGAGAGCTTTATATGGGGTGTTCTTTATGGAAATGTGGTAGTTTGTGTTGTACCAAAACTCAGCCCATGGTATCCATTTAGGCCATTGTTTAGGCTTATTCCCAGTGATGCACCTCAAGTATGTTTCAATACACCTATTTACCACTTCCGTCTGCCCATCCGTTTGTGGGTGATAGGCTGTACTGTACTTGAGTTTTGTCCCAGCCGTTTTGAACAATTCAGACCAGAAGGAGCTCATGAAAATTGCATCTCTATCTGAAACAATAGTCTTAGGGAACCCATGTAGCCTGACTATCTCCTGTATGAAAACTGCAGCCACCTCCTTTGCAGTATAGGGGTGACCTAAAGTCATAAAGTGTGCAAATTTGGTGAGTCGATCCACCACTACCAATACTGTATCCTTCCCATGGGCTCTGGGAAGGCCACCAATAAAATCCATACTCACATCTGACCAAATCTGTACGGGTATTGGTAATGGTTGCAACAGTCCAGCAGGGTTTAAGGCTTGATACTTGTTTCTTTGGCAGGTTTCACAACCCTGCACATAGGCTTGAATATCAGCCCTCATACCATACCAATAGAAGAGGTTAGCTACCCTTTTCATGGTTCTGAAGTACCCTGCATGTCCTCCAGTAGGAGAATCATGAAACTCCTTTAGTAGCACCTGAATTCTGGGGGACCCCTTTGGTATCACTAACCTCCCTTTGAAATAGAGTAGCCCTTTATTCAGTTTAAAATCTGGTTGTGCCCCGGGCTGCCCAATTAACTGCTGCATGATATTATTACATCTGTCATCTTTGATAAGCTCCTCTTCTAACCCTTCCCATTCTTGGCAAGTCACGATAGATAGGGATGCCAAGCACATCTTCCGGGAAAGTGCATCCGCAGCCTTATTCTCTGTCCCCGGTTTGTATTTGATGATAAAGTTGTACCCTAGTAATTTTGTTACCCATTTTTGTTGTTCTTCACCCATCAGTCTTTGTTCAGCTAAAAATTTGAGACTCTTCTGATCAGAATGTATTTCAAACACTCTCCCAAGTAAGTATGGTCTCCATTTTTGCACTGCTAGGACTATGGCCATTAGTTCCCTCTCATATACAGACTTGGCTTGATTTCTTGGGGCTAATTCTTTGCTCAAGTAAGCAATTGGCCTGCCTTCCTGCATTAACACTGCTCCTATTCCCTTCCCCGAGGCATCTGTCTCCACAACAAATGTTTTATTGAAGTCTGGAGCTCGTAAGACAGGAAGAGTAGTCATGGCCATCTTCAACTCCTCAAAGGCCTTTGTGGCTTTACTGTCCCATATAAATGCTTCTTTTTTAAGGAGGTTTGTAAGGGGTGCTGCAATTTTACTATATCCCTTAACAAACTTTCTATAGTACCCTGTTAGTCCTAGAAATCCCCTGAGCCCTTTTACATCTTTAGGTATGGTCCAGTTTAACATGTCAGCAATCTTAGAAGGATCTGCTGCTACTCCTTCTTCGGATATGATATGCCCCAGATATGACAGTTCAAATTTTCCAAAGCTGCACTTCTTCTTGTTGACAAACAATTGATGATCCTGGAGTGTTTTGAGGACTGTTCTCAAATGTACCATGTGTTCTTCCATGGTTGAACTATAAATCAGTATATCATCAAAAAACACAAGTACAAATTTCCTTAAATAAGGTCCCAGAACTTGATTCATAAGGGCTTGAAAGGTTGAGGGGGCATTGGTGAGGCCAAAGGGCATAACCAGGTACTCGTAGTGGCCTTCATGGGTTCTAAAGGCCGTCTTATGCACATCAGACTCCTTCATCCGAATCTGATGGTACCCGGATTTTAGATCAAGTTTTGAAAATACCTTGGCAGTTCCCAATTCATCTAATAGTTCCTCTATCACTGGTATGGGAAATTTGTCAGGCACCGTTATTTTATTCAATGCCCTATAGTCCCCACACATCCTCCAACCACCTTCTTTCTTCCTTACTAACAACACCGGACTGCTATAGGGACTGGTGCTAGGCTGTATTATCCCTGAATTCAATAATTCTTTCACTATGTTCTCGATTTCATTTTTTTGATAATATGGATACCTGTATGGCCTGATATTAGGGATAATAGAACCTTCCTTAATGTTGATTGAATGGTCACAGTCTCTCTGAGGGGGTAAACCTTGAGGTGTCTGAAACAACTCAGGATATTCCTCCACTATTGCTGCCAACTGACCTGCCTGCTCTTGCTGCCCAGATTCATCCATAGGTTTCAGAACACATGTGAGGTAGTACCCTTGTCCCTGTTGTAGGTCCTTAAGCAGTGTCTTCACCGATACCTGGGATTGCCCCAAAGTAGAATCTCCTGTTAGCTTTCTGTCCTGTCCTTCCTCCTTCCATTTCAAGGTCAGCTTCTGAAAATTGAACTGAATATTCCCCAGCGCAATCAACCATTCCAGTCCCAGTACTACATCAGTCCCTCCCAGCTCTAGTATATAGAAGTCTTGAGTTATAACCAAGCCCTGCACCTCCAGTTGCAATCCTGCACATAACCCATTGTTTTGTACTTTTTCCCCATTTCCTAACTCCACTTGGAAACCTCCAATTTGATTGAATGGTAGGGCCAGTTCATCTATTAGTCCCTGGGATATAAAGTTATGGGTGGCCCCACTATCTATTAAAATTACCACTGCTCTGGCATCCTTTCTATCTGAAATCCTTCCTTTAACTTTGAAGGTTTTATGTATAGTTATCCCTTCCTTGCTTATGGCTGACAACTTCAAAGTTTTATGTTCTCCACAATCTTCCTCCTCATCCAGGGGTTCTGCTCTGTGACAGGCAAGTTCTTCATCTTCTTCATTGGGTTCTAAGAGTACAAATTGATAGTGCTTCAATTTGCATATATGCTCCTTGTTCCACTTATCTCCACATTTGAAACAGAGCCCTTTTCTGGTTCTCTCCTCCAATTCAGACTGAGACAATCTCTGGCCCGCTCGCCCTTGGGTACTGATGAATCCAGGTCTCACTTCTGAAGTGATTTTATCAGTAATAAGAGGAACATTGGCATAAGGTTTGGCCCCTGTCCCTTCCATCCCATACAAAGGTCTGACCACACTTCCACCCTTGTCCTTCCAACCTCTTTTATCTTCCTCTTTGTATTTCCCTCCTCTCCAGGCCTTGTTTCTTGCTTCCAGTAGTAGTGCTATGTCCATGAGTTGATCCAAGGATTCATGGTGATATAATTTAAGATCAGCACGTAATTCCTCCTTCAACCCATTTAAGAAGATCCCCTTCAGTATTTCTGGGCTGGTGTCCTTCTGAGGTGCTATCACTGACTCAAAGTTCTCCCGATACTCCATCACACTCCCTGTTTGTTTAACACTCAGCAGAGGTCCGAATGGATTCTGCACCAGATCTGGTTGAAACCTCCGAATTAACGCTTCTTTGAACTCGTCCCACTTACTCTCTGCGTTTTGTTCCTCCCATCGATTAAACCAGTTCAATGCCCGTCCTTCCATGGCTACCATCACAACTGGAACTCTATCTTCATCCGCAATGTGGTTCAACTTAAAAAACCTTTCAGCCCGTAAGATCCAACCATATGTTTCATCTCCACTGAATACTGGTAGGTCGATTTTCCTACCAGTTTTCATTAGCGCATAACTTTCCAGTTTCCCGAATCTAGAGTTCGATGAACGAGAACGATCGACGGTACCTGTGGAGGTTGAGGATTTCCGACCCTCGATATGACCTCTCTTCTTTGGTGATCGCGATCGCCCTCGTGATCGATGATGCTTTTGGTTTTCCACCACCTTCCGCAACTCTTCCATCCGTACGTCCATATTCTCCATGTGTTTCTCCATCAGGTCATTCCGGTGGTCCATCTTGTCATTCCGATGGTCCATCTTCAACATCCAGTTCCGTATCTCACCCAGAACTGTTTCCACCGCTTCCACTCTGTGTTCCATTCCAGCTCTCGTCACGGTCATTCACCACTTCTCCAGGAAGGTGCTCTGATACCAAAATGATAGATACCAACTAAGAGCAGTACAAGGATGAATAAGAAAACAGGAATCTGGATAAGATGATCACAGAATTCCTGAATTGTATTAATGGCAGAAACTGTAAAGAAACAATGAAGAAAGAGAAACTGTTGGGACAATTTCGAGAGTGCCCTCTCTCCACTAACTTCCAAGTTCTGCCTACCTCCCATCAACCTCATATTACAATATATATAGGCCCACCAGACTACTCTTACTCCTCTTTTATTTAATAGGCCCACCTGACTTCTCTGACTCCTCAATTATTTATTAGGCCCATCCGATTACCCTTACCCCCCTTTTAATTATTCTGCCGCCCTCTTCTTGTATAAACATTATCAAAATACTGGACAGTAATATTATTATTATTATTATTATTAGTCTTCACGCCTCCAGTGATGTCTCCATCACAGCCCCATTCCCCGCCAATCATCTTGCATATGAGCCCTTGCATCCACATTAATCTTCACAACTCCCGCCATCGGTGGTTGCCATTTGTCCAGCTCCCTATCTCCTGCCCGACCCCCTATACTGCCAGGAGCTGTTATCGGCCTACTGCACATATGAAGTCGTGCCTCCTGCCAACCAGACACCAAGGCTTCGCCCCGGGCTACTACGCCCCTCCAGTTGGAGGTGATATTCTTCCAAGTTTTATCATTTCTTGATTTCCACAGGCTCCAACATATCACCACAAACATCTCAAAATCTTCAAACTTATAAGTAACAAATGAATCCTTTTAACACTCAATTTTTTTATGAATGGCATTTTTAACACAAATAAATATGTACGGAGTACGAGTATTATTTAGGGATATTAACAAGAATTATGTATTTTTGGAGTTTGGACTGAACTTTATTAGGGTTTTGTTAAGCTGACATTAACCTCCTCCCTACCCAATGAAATCAGAGGTGTGGCCGCTATTCCCCCGTTACTGCTTACCCTAGTAAATCCTATAGCGGATAGGTGCTTCTCCGCTCTAGCTATAGCTCGCAATTGACATCACTGGTTGATGGATGCATTTTTAGTATTTTAAAACCTGACTGGTATTTTGTAGCTTTACCAAACCTCAAGGAAGTTGATTTAACCAACCCAATTATATATTCGCAACGAAATTCAAAATTGTCTTTACTTAGTTTGCCTCTTTTTTGGATGAGGGTGCGACTCACATTCTGGTACATCATCAGGTGGGAATTCCTGTAGATAGGGAGCAATATATACATCGGCTTGGAAGAACAGGTCGGGAAGGCAAAGGAGGAGAAGGCATCCTATTGATTGCACCTTGGGAAGAATATTTCTTGGATGAACTGAAAGACCTCCCAATGCAGAAATGTGACTTGCCACCTTTAAATTTGAATATTACAGCAAAGGTTTGTACTCAGGTCTTCATAGTTCATGTCTAAAACATGCTCTTTTTTTCATCAGATTTAAAAAAGCACTAGACTCCACCTAGGGAGAAAACAAAAGAAAAAATGCGAAATTTAAAACCAAACATATATTTTCAAAGACTGCCATGCCATTTCTAACTCAACTTTAAATATATTTTTAATTCATTTTATATATTTTCTGTTTTCTGTTACGAAGACTGAGAAATAGAAGTATATGCAAAATTTCACATAGAAGTAGTCAAGTTTAACTTTCCAATATTAAAACCAAACAGAAAAATATCATTTCCTTGAACAAAACTTTCCTCATCCTTTACCAGTTAGCGAGTTCCAATCAGAACCTAACTTTTGAGTCATGTGTTTTCTTATTTTATGTTCAGCTCAAAGTACACTTGGATGCTGTATGTGCATCATCTTCATTTGGTCATATTATTGTACTTCCAATGAGTAGGAAGCTACACTATTGTAAATATGTCCTATACGCCAAAGTCCTATAAGACCATATTCAAACCCAAAGGTTGAGCCTTTTCGTCTCTGTCCAGACGAACTTTTGATACCATTAAGTTACCGTACATTCTAATTTCCATGGAAAATGGATGTATGCCTTTGTCCCTTGTATGAGTAGTTGATCCTAAATCATTGAACAGTCAATTAAATGATTAGCAATGTGCAAACTGCAAACCTTAAAAGAAATGATTTGAAAAGGAAAAAGCTGAGCTTGAACTTTAAAAAAATGTGTTGTCATTAATAGTGTGTTAATGCATATATCTCTTATTTATAGAGTGATCATTTTTTGTTTGATGATCGGTAATTGTAGATGAAAGAATCAATGGCAAGTATAGATAGCAGTGTCAAAGAGGCAGCGTATCATTCTTGGCTAGGATACTATAGTTCAATCAGGGAGATAGGACGGGACAAAACTACCCTGGTTTCATTGGCTAACCAATTTTGTCAGTCAATTGGTTTGGAGAGGCCCCCCTCGCTGTTCAGGAAAACTGCACTAAAGATGGGATTAAAAGACATTCCCGGAATTCGCTTGAGGAAGTAGACTGCAGCCTCATGGGTTTACTTCGTTCACTATTTGTGATTCGTACTTCAGTTGTAGGTTTTGAGTTCAATTGATACGTGGCATTGTCTTGTGTACATTTTTCACTTTTGTGGGTTTAATTCTTGATATTTTCAATCTTTGACTTGAAAGGATGGAATAGGAATAGGAATTGAGGAACCCATGTTATGATTCTCTTGCTAAATATAATTTGATGAGGCAAGAGAAGGAATCACTCGTTTATCATTCTTACATCATTACTCTGTAATTCAATACGAAATACACAACTTCAGTTTTCGTGATCATTGCATCACTCCATGACTCCATGTCTCAATTGTAGGGGAAAAAGGGTCAAATAAGCCTTTCTAGTATTTCAAAAGCATCATATAAGCTCATGTACTCAGTTAATTGTCATAAAAATCTATCTACTTGTAAAAACTGATCAATTAGAGCACACCACTTGAAAGAGACCGGGTATAACCGGTAAAAGCTACGGGTGGCATTTTTAATAAGACCAAGTCACCCCTCTTGTTTGTTAGGGATTTGCGGATTTCCTTTGTTTTTTCTTTTCTTCCAGACTTCCAGTGTGCTCCAAGCCTCCAATGAGAATATGAGATATGTTGTGATTCAGCCTCCTTGAAGCAGACAACAAACTAGATATGATATCAAGAATGAAGGGATGCGTTGAAAACTAGCTATATCTAGATTCTAGAAGACTAGAATCTATCAATTGGGCTCTTCCCATCTGCACTCTTCTCCCTGCATCTTCGATCTGTGCTAGTGATGGACTCGGGCCGGGCCAAGGCCCGGTCGGGCCGCAGGTTAGGTAAAGGTAGGCCTGGGACCGGCTTGGGCTACGGCCGGTGCCGGTTCGGGCCGGGTCACCCGCCCGGGTCACGGGTCGGGCCACCCGCCGAGCCGGGCCGGGTCATTTTTTTTAATTATAGATTATACAAATTCTTATTAAAAACAAAGTTCAAGTGCATTTATTTGAAATAGGAACTACATTTGTGAATTGAGAAAAAAATAACAATATGAAATACATTTTCTAATAAATATCAATTGGGATTTTCGCCACCGTTGGTTGTTGTTTTTGCCTTTGTCACAGGACTTCATATGTTTTATTGGCATCCCGTATCCATGTGAACGCCCCAAGCAACACTCTTTCTTGCACCACTTGCAAGTTGCCCACCACAGTCCGGTCTTCGGGTCCTTCCACTTATCAAAATTGTTTTGCATATGGGAAGAATTACTTTCCATATTTAAAATGGTAGATGTATAAGTAGGAATGTAGGATAATAAGAGAAGATGGAGATGAAGAAGAGTTGGAGAAGACTCAGAAGAGTTGGAGAAGAGGTTTAGAAAAATGTTAGAAAATAGATGTATTTATAGATTTTTTTGAACCCCACTCCCCACACCACCACCCCCGGGACCCCCCCTGGCCCCCACCCAAAGCCCCAACGGCTATATAGCCGTTTGGGAGCAGTTTTGTTTTTTTTTAATTTTTTTAAATATTTTTTATTTGAAAATTATACATATTGTAAAATAAGTTAATTAATTTAATGAGTTAAGTAAAGCTATTTTTACTTAGAAAAGTGGTTTGATTTATAATTTACAAATGTTACAAAATAGGTGTATAAGTATTTAAAAAAATTACATATTGTAAATGTATTTTTAATTTAAAAACAGCCTTTAGAAAAATAATTTTAAGTTGTAAGTTTGTAACCAATTAATTAATTTGAGAAGTGCTACATATTAAAAACTGAACGCATATTTATTTGAAATATGAAGTACAAGTTTACAAATAAATTTGAAGTACAAGTACAAATTTACAATTTTAAAATATGAAGTAGAAGTTTACAATTTTGAAATATGAAGTATAAGTACAAATTAATTTGAGAAATGCTACAAAATACATTTTATAATAAATTCTAAAATACTAATCAATCGGAATCTCCGGCATAGGTAGAGGCATAGAGCCACCATCGGTTGTTGAATCATCCATAAAGTCTTGGGAGGGGGTGATGCTCATTTCTTGAGTTGTACGTGCGGCCTTCAACCAATCGTGGTAGCATATAAGCGTATCAAGAGACTCCGCGCTCAATCTCGTTCTAGATGCCGTTAGGACGTTACCGGCCGAACTAAATTTTTTGTTCCATAGCAACTGTTGAAACCGGCATTGATAGAACTTGCTTAGCCATCCGTGCTAAAATCGGGAACGTTCTTTCTTTTGACTTCCACCGGTTTAGAACGTCAAAGTCATCATTTTCTTCAAAATCAACTTCATATGTTAAATACAAAGTAATCTCATTTAATGTGCATTGTTTAGTAACGTGAGTTGTTTTAGTTTTTTTCATAAGATTGCCAAATGCAGATTTAAAAATCGATTTTCATTTAGATGAAGATGTTCGTGTCGGGGGAGGGGGGGCGCTGCTATATTGTGCACGAAACTCATCAAATAAGGCATAAAATAAAGCACTAACCTCGTTGTATTCCGTTTTCGGATCTATGTGGTTATCGTCATATAATGGAGAATAAGAGAATTTGAGAAGATGAATATGGAGATGAGTAGAGAGTAGAGAGTAGGATTTAGGAAGAGTTGGAGAAGAGGTGTGAAAACTTGTTTAAAATTAGGAGTATTTATAGGTTTTTTTAACCCCCCCCCCCCCACCCCCCAAAAGCCCCGGACCCCCCCGGTACCCACCCAACGGCTATATAGCCGTTTGGGAAGTGGGTCAACAGCCAAAAGGCCATTTACAAAAGAAATGATTTTTTTTTTAGATTTTGGCCGTTAGGCCCGGCCCCGGGCCCGACCCCTGACCGGAGTGCCGTCCGACCTCCTCCTTTTGGGGAGGTTCCCAGTGGTATTTTTGCTCAAAGTTTTTGTGTATGTTCCTCATCAAGTCTAGTTCATCCATACCAAATTTGAGCATAACATTCCATCGGGAAGGCTGTCAAATGATTTTTGAAAGTTAACTGGTCCGGATTATACATATAAAACGCAGTTAACTTTCAAAAATCATTTGACGGCCTTCCCGATGGAATATTTTGCTCAAATTTGGTATGGATGGACTAGACTTGATGAAGAACATACACAAAAGATTTGAGCAAAAAATACCACCGGGAACCTCCCCAAAAGGAGGAGGCCGGACGGCGCTCCGGACAGGGAGGGACATGAATAATCCTCACAATTAGATAACACTAATAGAGTATATGGACTCTGACCCCCCGATCTATCAAATGTTGGGCCCGGACAACGGCCCACGTACATTCAGCAGATGACATTTATATTGCTGTACAATTTACACATCCATTGTATATACTAGATTATCCTTTTATGTAGTTGGACCTATCAGGGTCATATTATTGGCCCGGCCCGCTATTATCTATATATACTCCTTATGGTTTACATAGCAAACCCTAGCCAAACTGTTCAGTCATCATACATACTCTTTTCCTTCTCCATCTCTTGTTATCTCTCCTAAACTATATAATATTGTTGAGATTTATTCCTTCAACCTGTAGGCCCAACACAAAAGCCTATGGATTTTGAGTGGATGATGTGTATGAATGTATGAATATAGCAAGTAAGATGGGCTTAGAGATGTGTGCAATAGTGGGCCGAGTATTATTTAATGCCTTGTTACACTGCACTAATGGTATTGGCCAGCGGCCGTTCGTCTCACACTCAAGTAGAAGAGTTGCGAACAATATTAATGTTATAAGATGCTATGATGCTAAATCGGGTAAGTTGTCAACCCTTTACAATGAAATAAATGCTACTATTTATACTATTAAGAGGCAGTTGGATATGCCGGCGTGGAGGGTTTGAATGGCTGAAACCTCAACCACTAGATCTCCAGCATTAAATGCGCTTCCCGCCATAATCTTAGTTTCCCGCACAATCCTTGGAGACGAGCATCCCCGTAAACCTTGGACCTGTGCTTGGCGATGCCGCCAAGGGAGAGACGTCGTGCGTCTTTTGGTTGTTGGCATGAAAGTAAGATTGATTAGCCTTGGGCTATGACTCCTTGGGCTGAGGCTTCAAGGAAAGACGTACGTCCCCGATGCCTTGGGCCCTGACGGATAACTATCGTTGGTTAATGGATACGTTCATCTTCAAATGATATTCCGTTAGGCTTAGATGTTCATCCATGGTGGGGTTAAGTGGACCGATGCTCTAATTGGACCATTAATCCAACACAAGTCCCCCAATTCTGATGTTCCAAGTATGCGTGGGACATAAGGAAGTAAAACATGTCCTCGCCAGGCTGATATTGGAGACGTCCCTGACGCGCGTGGGTCAAGACGGAATTCAAGACTGTCCTCGCCGAGCTAAACTTGAGGGATGCTCTTGATATAACAGTTGGTTGTTGTAGACGGTTCATGATATAAGTAAATCCTATAGCGGTTAGGTGATGCTCCGCTCTACTATGCAGTTATAGCTCGCAATTGACATCACTGATTGATGGATGCATTTTTAGAATTTCTAAACCTGACTGGTATTTTGTAGCTTTACCAAACCTCAAGGAAGTTGATTTAACCAACCCAATTATATATTGACATCGAAATTCAAAAATGTCTTTACTTAGTTTGCCTCTTTTTTGGATGAGGGTGCGATTCACATTCTGGTACATCATCAGGTGGGAATTCCTGTGGATAGGGAGCAATATATACATCGGCTAGGAAGAACAAGACGGGAAGGTAAAGGAGGAGAAGGCATCGCACATTGGGAAGAATATTTCTTGTTCTTGGATGAACTTGTTGGGGTATCACGTAGGGGGTGATAATTGAGTACTTGACTACTTGGATATCTTAAGGATCGTGTAAGTTCACTTTCCGAATTGATATTTCTCCCCTATGCCTGGGTTACAAGAAATTCAATCTAGGATAATCCTTAAGGACACTCTAGAACTTAGGCAAAAGAACTAGAGTCAAACTAGTCGAGTATATGGATTGTTATCTTAATTTGAGTGCCAAAGTGATGAAGATTCGTTGGATATTATTCCTCTTCTCCTCTGTACGAAATATGGTGGTATATATCCATATTAACCATCCTAGGCAGTTGCAACACGTTTGAGAAACCGCAGCAGTTTTTGGAAAACTACTGGACACTAAAATCACCAACAATCCTCCCCATTTTAGTGTAACCCATGAAATAACATAACAAAGCTTACACACCAAAACTTGTACATAAATGGAAATGTCGATACGATTGAATTTCCATCTTAGTATTTTACACATTCAAAATATTCGAGAATCGGGGTGTCCTACGGATTGAACCCTTCAACCCATTTGAATACCTCAAGATGAAACACATACAAGTTTCT